GTGTTTTGTCCCTCCTCGGCAGGGCAGGTCCTGCTGCTCACAAAAATAATTTCAATTTTTTGGGGCTGGGATCCAGAGGGAAGGGAATAAAGCTACGGAGGAAATCCTTCGGGGTTTTTTTTTAGGGTTTAAAGTTTTAACTTCAAAGATTAAAGTTAATTTAATCTTTAAATTAACTCTCGGAAAGCACATTACGATGTATATACACAGATAAACATATAGGTAATTCACATTGATATATTATTCACAAATCTGTTGTTAATATTTTATTGTTCTATTTTATATAAAATGGAGATGGAGATAAAGAATTTTTCGCTGTTGCTTTGCACCCTGAAGGGAATAAAGCTACAGAGGAAAATTTTCAGGTTTTTTAAATAATATTTTTAAATTAACTCCTGGGAAGCACAGAATGAAATATATACCCAGATAAACAAATATAGGCAACAAATATTGATATTTTATTCAGATATCTGTTTGTTATTAATATTTTATTGTTTTATAATATATAAAGCTGAGAGAGATGGAGATAAAGAATTTTGCATTTTCAGGGTTCTTTTACACCCTTGCAATGACCAAAATCTTCACGCCAGCTCAAATTCCCTTGACCCAGCACGACCAAGAACCAAAAATGTGCTGTCACATTCCAGCCACACCTCTCCAAAGGGGGAAAAAAAATAAAAATTAAATATATATTAAAAAAAAAAATGGAAATATCACCAAAAAAAAAAAAAAATCTCCTCAGCCCAGCCCCACTCACCTGCAGGACACCACCTGTCCTCAGCCCACCTGTTGCAGTTGTAGTTGTCCACTGCCTTGTCACAGGTAAAACATTTGAAGCTGTTTGGGAACGGAGTGGCTTGGAAAAGATTAAAAAAAAAAAAAAATTAAAATTAGTTGGAAAGGATGAGGGGAAAAAGAATGAAAATGTTTAAAATTATGCTTGTAAGAGCATGTGCTTACAAAAATAAATGATGTGTATTTAGAGCTTTTCGCTGTCAGGCAAATAAAACAAGTTTGGCTGAAAGGTTTTTTTTTTTTCCCTCTAGGCTTGAACTTGAAATATATCCTTAAAATATTTTGGATTATGAGAGTGAAAAATGGATGTTTTCAGTCTCGTAATCCAACACTGAGGTGGGAAAAGCAGAAAAGAGGGAAGAGTTTCTCACCCTGCGTTTTCCTTGGATGGAAAAATCTGCATTTCCAAAGCAGCTTCCACTCGGGAAGGAGAAAATGAATCTTTTTAAAAAAAAAGGACTCAGAGGACTCTTTAAAAAAAAAAAAAAATCTTATTGCCATTATTTAAATGGAATTATTTAAATGAATTTTTGGGATGTGCAGGGTTGATTAGGGGCAGATATTTTATCCAGTTATTGATATTATATTGTATTATATTATATTATATTATATTATATTATATTGTATTGTATTGTATTATATTATATTATATTATATT